GTTTTAGCGTAAGTTCAACGATTACTTCATACTTATTCTGATTTTCGAGTACATATGATATGTGAACTTGACTGCTCAAACTTTATCTCAGTTTACTTCAGTTATTCTTATATCTTTATTTTATAGTTGTGAATCATCGGATTATATTTTAAATATGATATTTATTGATTCCATTAATAATGATTCAATCGAATATGCGTTATTTAAAAATAATTATTTTAAAAAAATAAAATATTTAAAATTTAAAATAAAAAATATATAATTTATACACGTATTTTCTCTATCAACCTCTTAAAAAATTATCTTAAAAAATATCTTTTTTGAGAGAATTTTTGTAGAAAAGGAAGCCCCCGTTTTGCAACAGGTGGAAGCATAATCAAGTTTTGCCGACTCTATCTGCAGCCTCTCCTCTATAAAGTAATTGTTCTCACTTTCCACTTTAATCTCCAGAAATTTCCCTCAAAATTCCACTGATAAGTAAGGTTACCAATAACTTTTACTAGTTTATTTTTTGCGAATCTCCTCCTATCTTCTTCGGCTTTTCCCCCATCTCTGGTTTGTTCATTTCTCCCCTTTTTTGGCTCCATTTTTTCGCTTTTTGAGGCTGAGATTTTTTTTTGGTATGCATTACAATGTTCGGATTCTTTTACATATCATGTAATAGTAGGGTTTGATTTTGTCTTTTTGTTTCTGGGTTTGTTTTACTGTATTAATCTAATCAAAGATATGGTTTTTTGTAGGTGCTATTTTTAGAGTTATATATATGTATATATGTATATGTAGTATGAATTTGGGTTTTGTCTCTAGCTGTTTTAAGTACACTTGGGTTGTTCTGGAAATTTGGAGCACAGAATCATCTGTATTTTTAGTTTTACTGATGTAAATTGTTAAAGCTAGAAAGGTATTATATGGAGTGTAATAATTGCGCCGAGTGTCGGATCAACGATTGATCCACCATGTTGTTGAACTGTTAAATTATTGTAAGTTGAATGGTTTAAACTCACATGATGTGAAAATATTGTAAGGCGAGTGCTTTAAACTCGTATGATGTGTTTTGTTCATTCCATGTTTGTATTATGATGCGTATCTGGTTAGTTGGGAAGGAAATGTGATGTATATGGATTTTGTTTTGGTGTTGATTGATGCAAGTGAAATTGTACAAATTGCATTTGTATTTAGATGTTATTGGCCCGAACATGTTGGTTTCGAGTATAATAAGCCAGTAGCTAACTCAGGGTTATGCTGGATTTATATTTTGATGTCGATGTAAGTTGGCACTGCTCAAATTGTATTTGTATTCAGAGGTCATTGATCCGATCGCGTTGTTTCTTGTTCAATACGAAAGTAGTTAATTCGGGGAAGAGAAGAATTGTCATTTTGTTTAGGATTTTAGTTTCAATGACGGTTAGGATACCCTTTATATATCTTTCTGTTGAATGCATGGTTTGATGTTTTGTTTCAATAAACATCTTGCTGTAAAATTTTCGTGCGACATTCTTGTTTGAGCTTAATGGTAATCCATGGATGATTTAGACTTTCAAAACTTAATTATGTTGCTTTCGCAGGAAGCAAATTATCTTTTGGCTGCCGATGGTCAATTTTCAATCCGGAAATGTCATTGGAAGAAGTTTTGAAGTTTGTTTTTCCTTTCTTAGATGGCATAGACCTCGCAGCATGCATGCTGGTGTGTAAGCAATGGAGACACATAGCAAAAGATGATTACTTTTGGAAATGTGTATGTGCAAAGAGATGTCCTTCGACTTGCAAACGCCCCAATCCGCCTACTGCAACCTATTGTAAACTGTATCAATTGTTTTATAAACAGCAGCATAGGCGAACACTTCCCCCTCCAAGGCTTTCCTTTGATGAATTGGAATTCTTCATTGACATTTGGACTGGAGATGAATTGATTTTCTCCGAAGTTGTCCCCGGTGCTGTCCTCCAGAGAGGAATGCAGATCCCACCTGTTGGAATCTGCGACATGCTCAAGTTCATCTCGAGGGTCCCGAGTACAAGCTGACCTTACCTGTTGACCCGAGGTTCACCATTCCTGTGAGACAGACTGCAAGTGTTTCGGTGCTTGTGGGGCGGAAGGACTCAAAAAGGGTTGCTCGCATAATCAATAAATCACCATTCCGTACAGCCTCCAGAGCTCTAGCTTTCGATTACCTTGTCTTCTCTCCTTATTATCCCTTTATTTCGACAATCCGGGCATGGGTCTCTTTGCTTTTTGATGAAGACAGAAGCAACGGTGTCGTCGACGTTTTCGGCATTGAGATGGACTTCTCTGAGGAAGCCAATTCCAAAGAAGAGGTACTGTGGCTATTGGACATGCTTGATTGGAAATGAATGGTGGAAAGCTTGGTGGTAGCTAGGAGCATAGGTGCAGGCACAGAGAAGAAAAATATACATGATTGTAGATGTAAACATATACAGTTCTAGGTGTGTACTAAAACCATATATATATATATATATATCTTAGATGTGTACTAAAAATTTTAAAAATAGATAAAAATCCAAATATTTTAAATATTTAAGAAATATTATAATTATAAATTTAATTTAAATAAATAAAGACAAAGTCAATTATTAGAAATAAGTTCATTAATTTGCAATTTTTATAAAAGATTATACTTGAATATTATTCGTCTTTGATGTTTTTTAATTATAAATAATGACATGGCCTAACTAAAATTTTCTACCGTCGGAATTATCTTTTATCATTTGGGTAAAGTATGGTATTCTATTGTTATTTGTTGAGTTTTTTAATTATTAAAAATTATAAAATAAATTTTTAATTATAGAGTATTATTTTATTAAGTCTTTTGACTATTAAAAATTATAAAAATGGTCACTTAATTATTCATATATTGTAAACTCATTTTTTCTATTAAAAAATTGAAGATAGTCTGAGTTAGATATTAATCTATCGACTGAGATATAATAAAATTATATTTCAGAATCTCAAAAGATTATCATATCTCAATTAACATACGTCAAACTTAGACGACCTTTAATTTTTTAAAATAAAAATATGAGGACCTTTAATTTTTTAAAATAAAAATATGAGTTTGGAACATATGAATAGTCGAGTGACTGTTTTATAACTTTTAATAGTTGGGAGACACAACAATGCAACACCATATAGTCGAAGAATCATTTTGTAACTTTTAATAGTTGAGAGACTCAACAAAATAATATTCTATAGTCGGACTTTTTTTGTACTTTACCCTCATAATTTTGACTAATATAATTTAAAAATATTTTGGGTTAAATGATATACTTCATTATTACTTTATACTTATAAATTATTTTTATTCAGTGCTTAAATTATATCTTAAATTAGTTTTTGGTGTCTAAATTATTTTTCGTTAAAGATAGGTGGTAACGTTTTCAACATTACTCTTTTAGGTGTTTGTACTATAACCACCGTTAAATTTGACTATTATCTGACATGTGTCAAACATATAAAATTTTAATTTTTTTATTTAAAAACAATTAATATTATAATTAAAAAACCAAAAAAAATATTTTCTCTACTACTTATCACCCATTGTCAGTCTGTAATCGTTATCGTTAACACCATAAAAAATAATATAATATTAAATTAATTATTTAAATTATTATAATATACTTTTATTTTATAGGACATATGTTTAAGTTTTCACTCATAACCCTAAATATGTCTAAGAAGACTCTGATGGAGGATAATGACAAACAATCGATCATAAATTAAAATGAAAAGAAAAAAATAATGAGATTATTTTTTTGTATAATTGTTGGTACTATACTCATTGATCAATTAATATGGATCGAGTATTCTAGAGATATATTATAGGAAAACCCATTTTAATTTAGTTTGTTCTATTTACAGTGTCAGAATTCAAACTTTTGACGTTACTTAAAAGATATATCTCACCTCATTAAATCATCTTGTAATTGGTAATATAATTAATTTTTAATTTTTAGTTTGTATATTTTAATTTTAAAATAGAGGATAAATTATGTGTTTATTACTAAAACTATCAACTTAGTCTGTTTAGCACCTAAACTTTAATTTTTCAAAGCCATAGTTAACGTTAGTTTTTGTTTCATTTTAGTATTTTGTCGTTAAAAACTTAACGACACTGTATTTTTTATTGATAAATTACATAATTAATCACTCAACTATCTACTCAATCTTATTTTGGAACTAAAGTTTAATTTTTTTTAATTTAAGTACTTAACTTTCAAATTGCTCCTATTTTAATCACTCTATTTTATTCTATTAATATTTTTTGTGAAATGAAATTTTTATTATTATTTATTAATATAATTAAAAAAACTTGAAAGTTAGAGTGATTAAATTAGGAGTAATTTGAAAGTTAAGTAATTAAATTAAAAAATAAACTTTAGTGAAATAATAAGAGTGAAAAGATAGTTGAGTGATGAATGATGCAATTTACCCATAAAATTTGTGTCAAGTGCAAATCACCCGTTAAGTTTTTAACAGCAATGTACGAAAACGAAACAAAAACTAAATGTTAGGTATGATTTTGAAAATATTAAAAGTTTAGGTACTAAAACGAACTAAAACTAATAATTTAGGTATTAAACATGTAATTTAACCTAAAATATATGTCTAAAATTTTATTATATTTCATACATTTAAAGGCATAAAAAGCTTGGATCTATGCTTGCCTTTAAAAGGTTTGAATCTTTATCTTTTAGGTATTAACTATGATATACATATTTAAAATATGTTTAAAGTTAGATTCTAAGTAATACTGATTAAGACTGATAGAAGGACCTAAATGATAATTAAAATATTGATAATTTGAGAGTTTATTATTATTTTTTGTTAGTTAAGGACCACTATGCAATTAACCCAAATATTTATATATTTCCTGGGTTTAAGAAATATAGCCGTTGCAAAAGGGAACAGCTCAAACCAAATTCAAAAACCTCGACCGTTAGAGAATCGTATCATTATCTCCGTGAAAGAAGCGTTTTTTCATTTCCTTCTCCGTTTTCTCCCCAAGAAAAAAATGGTGAGAGAAGAACCAAAAAGAAGCCCAGAAGTTTATCGGCAGCCAAACAGTGCCGAGAATAGTGAAAATGTCGATGACTTGTTTAGTCCCAGATTCAAATCCGTGGCAGCCATGGCTGGATGGGACGAGGAAGCTCTCATCATCGCTAGTCTCGTCGTCGAAGACACTCCAGATCGGCAGCAATCAAAACGCAAGAAACGCTCAGTTTTGATATCCAGCACTCCGCCGTGCTCCACTTCGAGAAGGTAAACTGTTAGTCCCAAAAGTTTCGTTCTCCTTTAATTTATCTGATTCTCGATTCATATAGTTCTTCAATTTTTCCCCAGGAAACGTAGGGCTCAGAGAAGGAGCCATGCTTCAACTCCGATTGCTCCATTAAATCTCGATGAAGAAGAGCAACAGATTTCAAAACAAGGTGATGAAGAAGAAATTGTTGTGGAGGATGAGAAGAAAACGAAAGTGAATGAACCAGCTCCTCTTCATTGTATGGATAAACTCAGAGAGGAGCTTTCATGTGCAGTAAGAGTCTTTCGGATTTTGATTTTGTAAATGTTCGATTCGCTTTCGTTAATCTTCTAGTAATAACTATGTTATTTGATTGGCTTCATAGATTTGTTTGGATATCTGCTTTGAACCAAGCACAACTCCGTGTGGACATAGGTAAAACAATTTTTAATTCAACGAAACCAGGCAAAATCTGTTGATCTTTTGATTGATTTGTCATTTGAGTGAAACCCTTTTCTCTTTTGATTGTAGTTTCTGTAAGAAATGTTTGAGATCGGCTGCGGATAAGTGCGGGAAACGATGCCCGAAATGCCGGCAGCTGATAAGGTAAAAAAACCGAGCTCGATGCCCCATTAATGGAAGATCAATTTAACATCATTGTAATCCTAATGAGCTTTTATTTTCTCAGCAATGGAAGATCTTGCACTGTGAACACAGTTCTTTGGAATACAATTCAGCTCCTGTTTCCCAAAGAGGTTGAAGCAAGGAAGGCGGCAGCTGGTGCCGAGTGTCAAAGTCCAGAGAGCGGGACTCGTAGCGGTACCCGAAGGACACGAACTCGAACTCGAATTCAAGATCCTGCATTGGCTGCAAGGCTACAGAGAGAGGATCTTGCGCGGCTAGTAAACACTAGAAGGGGGGGCCCTGCAAGGCAGCAACGAGATAATGATCTTTCGCGGCTAGTAAGCACCACCAGGAGAAGAAGAGAGACACCGGGACAAGACGGAGACGCGGCATTAGCTTTAAGGATGCAAAGAGAAGAGTTCATGGAAGCTTTTAGGGGAAGCAGTGGCCAAAATATTTCGTTAGCTAGAGCAAATTTGAGAGCTATGGCATCTAGAGCCATTAATAGAGGCCGGACTTAGTACTAAATTGGTTATGAAGGTGATCCGTTACATTTCTCTTTGAAAAAAAAAATCTTGTTCATTGTTGCACTTCCAATGCAACTAAGCTAATCTTGAAGATTTCATCAAGTTAATCCAATGTTGTACCAACTCTTGATTTGCTTTTGGTTATTGGTTGATCCTATGTAAGCCACTTTGTTTTACCCACAAGTGTTTGTTGTGAACCCTAGTAATAGTGTTAACTAGGTGGTGATTTTGGTTTAAGCCATATTTAGATCGATAGCAACTACATTTTGAATTTGAATAAATTTTTACTTGGACACACACAATTGCATTTTAATTTCTGGTGTCATGGGTTTTTCAAAATCATATGGTGATTATAAAATAATATTATTCAGAATTTTCTTTTTAGTAATTGATAATATATACGCATCAATATATGGAGCTGTTCAAAAATTGTTGGTATAATTATATATTTGATCCTTAATATTTTTACATTCTCTCATTTAAGATATAAATTTAATCTCCAATTAGATGGTGACATGTGTCGATTAGAAGATATTTTATTACTTTTTATTTATTTAATTCAATTTATTTTTCGACAGCGATACATGTCACCACCACATTAAAAGTGAAAATATATGCTAGGAGATACTCGAACCTAACACAAAGAAGAATGTCTGCGAGTACCTAAACCACCGAGCCAAAACCCTTCTTTGGTAAAGAAAAGGAAGTCAAAATGCAAACAAGGACACTCCAAACTAAAATTTGAAGAATAAATAAATATATATATATATATATATATATATTAAATTATAATTTAATGAATAAATATTTTTAATTTTTTATTTAATAATTATAATTTAATATATATTAAAAAAAGTTATTCTATTAAATTATATTAGGAATATATATTAAAAATTATTTTTTTCTATTAAATTATAACTTATTATATATATATAACTATTAATAAATATATTCAATATCAATTATAGTTAATAAATAAAAATTAAGAAATGTTTATGAGATTAATAAATATTACAAATATATAAAATATATTCTATTTTTTTCAAGTATATGATTTAGTTTAATGATTAAGGTGGTTCCATCCATGCTTAAAATCTCAAGTTTGAGCCCCCTTGTTATCATTATTGTTTCTTTCTCTCTCTTTATCTGTCATCAACTAAAATAGGATATATAGAAAATGTTGTAGTTTAGATCCAAATTGGGGCTTTAGTTTAGTGGTTCTGGTTTGCGCATGGCCAGAATTCTTGTCAAACACATAATCATCCTTTTAATTTTTTTCTCTTAATAAGATGGTGAAACGTGTCAGCACTTTATTGGTAAAAATATAAATTGAAAAAATAAGTAAGAAAATATCCTCCTACCCGGTAATGACACATGTCATTACTAAATTAAAGATTAAATTAGGACCAAATTGATAGATTGTATAAATATTGAAGATCAAATGTGTAATTATATCAAGTAAGAAAATATCCTCCTACGCGTGGGTTTTTCATAATTCTAATGAGGTTCACATCTCCATCTCCACTTGCGGCGGGGTGTTTCGGAACTCAGATGGTCAGTGGCTATTCGAGTTCCACAAGTATATTGGGATCTATACAGTGATTGAAGCTGAATTATGGGGGATGTATGTGAGGATATCGTGTGCAATGTTCATGAGACCGTGGTTTACGTAGGGTAGTGGTTGAATCTGATTGCCAGCAAGCTATTTGTTTATGTTAGATTTCAGTTATTTAGTTAGTTAGGCAATTATTAATTTGTTAGTTTGTTAGGTAACTGCTAATGGATGTGTATATATAGGCCTTAGTTTTGTAAATCATGTGTACGATGAATAAAAGAGTTGGAGCACTTTTTCTGTAAAAATACCTTTTAACATGGTATCATGAGTCAGTTTATTTCCCGTGACTTTTTCCTTCTTGGTCAAAATTGATTTGGGGCTTTTTTCCTCCTTTTTTCCTGTTGCAGCGATGGAAACCTGCACCATCGATTTCTATCACCCGCTGTTCTTACATGCCTCCGATGCACCGGGCTTCATTCTTGTTTCGCATCAGCTTCTCGGTATCGAAAACTATGGGATATGGAGTCGGTCCATGAAGATTGCTCTGCTTGCAAAGAACAAGCTCGGCTTTATCATCGGTGATTGTCGAAGAGACGATTTTGATGAGTTATTACATCCACAATGGGAGAGATGTAATGCTCTCGTCTTATCCTGGATCCTCAATACAGTGAGCAATGAACTCTCGGCTGGGATCGTTTTTGCGTCCAGTGCCGCTTCGGTTTGGCAGGATCTGAAGGAAAGATTTGTTGAGGTTGACGGTTCCAGATCCTTCTTCATTCACCGTGAAATTGCGCTTCTAACTCAAGGTGATTCTTCAATCTCAGCTTATTTCACTATATTGAAATTACTCTGGGATGAGTATGAAGCCTTGGTCCCAATCTCTCCTTGCGATTGTGCTATTTCTTAACGCACGGTTGCGCAATACACACATCAAAAATTGTTTCAGTTTCTTATGGGCCTCAATGAGACTTACACTGCTGTACGGAGTTAAATTTTGATTCTGCAATCATTACCTTCTGTGAACCTTGCGTATTCGATGTTAGTTCAAGAGGAGTCACAGAGGATTCATTCTTCTGCTCTTTCTCCAATCTCTGAAGTCTCGGCTATGTATTTTAGCTCTTCTGGGAACACTGATAGAAAGAAATTCTCTGGTGTGTGTGATTACTGTAAGGTTCGAGGGCATAAACGTGAGAACTGCTATCGATTAATTGGATTCCCTGTTGACTTCAAGTTCTCCAAGAAGAAAGGCAGTCAAGTAGCTTTGACTTCCACTCGATCTGTGCTTGGTCCTCACAATCAATCGAGTCCTGAGTCACAACAAGATGCTGCCTCTACTGTTCCTATGTTCACACGAGCTCAGTATGATCAGATACTTCACCTCTTGAACAAGGAACTTTATGTGGATCCAGCAGCAAATACTGCAGGTATTGATTCTACAAATAATAGTCTTTCTTTCAATTGGATATTAGATACAGGCGCTACTGACCATATGTTATCCGATTTTCAAAAACTAATATCTCCTGTTCCATGCATATCAGATTCTCGATTTGTTCATTTACCTAATGGCCAAACAGCTCCCATTACACATACATGTTCCTTTTACCTTAACCAGAATTATTCATTTACCAATGTCTTGTTTGTTCCACATTTTGCTCACAACCTCCTTTCTGTTTCCAAACTAACCAAAGAGCTCAAGTGCAGTGTTTCCTTTTATCCTAACTTTTGCATTTTACAGGATCTCTCCACTGGAAAGATGAAGGGGATTGGTAGAGAGTCTCACAGACTGTATTTTTTTGATTCCTCTACTTTTGGTTATGGTATTTTTTTCTGTTCCACATTGTAATTCTTCAAATTGTATGAGTCTTTCAACTATCAATAATACTAAGCTTTGGCATGCTCGTTTAGGGCATTCCTCTTTCTCTAGTTTACATAAAATACCATATTTATAGTCTTATAAGTTTCATGCTAACAGTGTCCATAAATGTTCTATTTGTCCTCTTGCTAAACAATCTAGGTTACCCTTTCCTCAGAGTATTTCTAGAGCATCTAAACCTTTTGATTTAATACATATTGATTTATGGGGACCTTATAGGATTTCTACTCATAGTGGTTATAGGTCTTTTCTTACCATTGTTGATGACCACACAAGAATGTCTTGGCTTTTCTTGTTGAGGCTTAAAAGTGATGCAATCCTCTCTTTAAAACAGTTCTTTGCCTATGTCAAAAATCATTTTTCAGTCACAATTAAGTTCATTAGAAGTGACAATGGTTCTGAGTTCTTTGCTAATGAATGTTCTTCCTTCTTTTCTTCCTTGGGTATTGTTCATCAAAGCTCTTGTGTTCATACTCCTCAGCAAAATGGTATTGCTGAAAGAAAACACAAACATTTATTAGAGGTAGCTAGAGCCCTTAAATTTCATTCCCAAGTTCCTGTTAAGTTTTGGGGAGAGTGTGTCACCACAGCTTGTTATATCATTAACATATTGCCTTCTTCTACTTTAGCTGGGAAAAGCCCTTTTGAACTCCTTCATGGCAAACCTCCCAATCTGCCTCATATGAGAGTTTTTGGTTGTTTATGTTATGCCACCCAACCAAATTACAAGGACAAATTTTCTCCAAAAGCTATACCTTTCATATTCATGGGTTACTCTGCTACTCAAAAAGATTACATTCTGTTTAATCTTGAGAAACAAACATTCTTTGTTAATAGAGATGTCAAGTTCCATGAGGACATTTTCCCCTTTAAATTTCCAATTTCCTCTTCTTCCTTATTTTTTCCTATTCAAGATGTTTCTGATTCTGATTTTTTGGTCATGCCCTTTCACACTACCCATCCCAATTCCCCTATACCTTATGGGTCTTCAAACCAGTTTGCATCACCTCAAGCTTCAACAAATGATTTCTTTTTACCTCAATCTTCACCTCAGCCTACTGTTTCTGGTGAGTCTTCATCCAGTAGTATTTCCATCCCTCCTAGACACTCTACTAGGGTCAAAAAACAACCTGCTTGGTTACATGATTATGTTCAGTCCTACCAATCTTCCTCTCATCCAGGTACTTATCCAATTTCTAACTTTCTTTCTTATTCTTATCTTCCTGTTAAAACTCAACTTTACCTTTCTTCTATCTCTCATTTGGTTGAACCTAAGACCTATAATGAAGCCATTCAAAATCCTGTATGGGTTACGGCTATGAATGAGGAGATTTTAGCATTGGAATCGAATAATACTTGGTCATTGGTTCCCCTGCCCTCTAATAAGACTCCTATTGGAAGTAAGTGGGTGTATCGCATCAAATATAATTTGAATGGAGAAGTGGAGCGGTTTAAAGCTCGTCTTGTTGCTAAAGGATACACTTAAAGAGAAGGGGTTGATTATGTTGAGACCTTCTCTCCTGTGGCAAAGTTGGTCACTGTAAGAACTGTCCTGGCTCTTACATCTATTCATCAATGGCCTCTTTTTCAGATGGATGTTTACAATGCAT